TTTTTTTTTGGGGGGTACGCAGGCCTCTTACTGTTGTGGCCTCTCCCGTTGTGGAGCACAGGCTCCGGGCGCGCAGGCTCAGCGGCCATAGCACATGGGACCAGCCGCTCCGCGGCATGTGGGATCCTCCCGGACCAGGGCACAAACCTGTGTCCCCTGCATCGGCAGGCGGACCCTCAACCACTGCGCCACCAGGGAAGCCCAGATATTTTTATTTTATGTTTACAGATAAGGAAACAGGCTTCTAAATGACTTGTCTAGACTCCACATTTAATAAGCAGCAGCAAAGGTGTTTAAGTCAGGATTTTTGACTCCCAAACCATTATTCTTTCCCCATAACCACTATAACCACTATACTGCTTTTACATTATAAAATTAGAATAAAAAAGGTAAAAGAGTATACATGTACTGATGCCTAAAACTCTGACTCAGGATCATTTGTAGCAAATAAGCATAGACTCAAACCAAGACTCAAAACCAGATCTAGCTGTTAAATCTTCCCACTGTCCTACCCTTTCTGTCTCAAAACTAGGCAATATATCTGTAATTTAGATTGTTTATAAACCTGTATTCAGCCAAAATCCTTATTGCAGCAAATTATTACCGTATTCAATAACATTACCACTTATCCAGTAGACTTAAAACAATCCCACCTCTGAATCTGAATCTGTTCAAATCTGAAAGATTATATTAAAATCTTGCAAAGAGGGACTTCCCTGGTGGCACAGTGGTTAAGAATCCGCCTGCCAATGCAGGGGACACAGGTTTGAGCCCTGGTCCGGGAGGATCCCACATGCCGCGGAACAACTAAGCCCATGAGCCACAACTACTGAGCCTGCGCTCTAGAGCCCACGAGCCACAACTGCTGAGCCCATGTGCCGCAACTACTGAAGCCCACACACCTAGAGCCTGCGCACCGCAACATGACAAGCCACCACAATGAGAAGCCCGTGCACCACAACGAAGAGTAGCCCCTGCTCGCCACAACTAGAGAAAGCCCGCACGCACAGCAATGAAGACCCAACGCAGCCAATTAATTAATTAATTAACTAAAAAATCTTGCAAAGAGCAAACCTTGGCCAGAATGGTAAACATTGAGAGAGAAACAAAGCTTGTTCTGCTCCCACCCCACCAGTTTCTTTGCTGTTTCTTCAGCAGGCCAAGCATGCTCTTTCCTCAGGGCCTTTGTACTTGTTATTTTCTTTTGGGGATAAGTACTCATGCCACAAATATTCATAGAGTTTCTCTCCTTTGTCTCTGTTCAAATGTTGCCTTTTAAAGGAAGCCTTCTCTGATCACCTTATGTAACATTTTCTTGCCCCACTCTGTCACTCTATACCCCATTCTTGTTTTTGTTTTTAACACCCAGTTCCATATAACTTATTTGTTTATTGTCTGTCATCCCCACTAGAATACAAGCTGTACAAGAGCAGGGGTCTTGTTTTGTTCACTGTTTTATCTCTAATGCGTAGAACAAGGCCTGGCCTATGATAGATACGTATTACAAAAATTTAAAAATGAAACCGTGATCACACACAACTGCATATTATTGATAGGTTTACCTTCCAGAAGAGAAAGCAGTCACATCCTTATCATATCAAAACTGAGAAATGTCAAGAAAAGGAAGAATAGTCAAAGAAGTAATAAAAGAATAAGAGAGGGGAAAATGCTTTTGCTATACACAGAGGCAGCAGAGAACAGTATTAAAAATTGTTTTAGAAACAGTAAGGAGGCAGTGAAGTGCCAGTGTCGATTAAGGTAAGAAGTGACAGGAGAGAAGAACACTATCAACTTGGAATCGTTCTGTGGTCTGGGGAATAGTTAGTTAAGAGGCAATATTTTCCCATTACTTTACAGTTTGGGATCGATAAGTATAAAGCTTTACAGTAAATTAATTTCTCTAAAATACTTTGCTTACGTTTTTAAGTAACACTTACTATATGATGAGTATGTCTGGCTATGAATGTAGATCGTCCCATCAGTTTATCCTATATTTTAATAGCTGAGAAAGTATTAATTATAAAATGTAAGCCTCCTAACAGATTATATTTTTTATTACCAGCTTAAATTTAACCAAAGAAGATACAATTCCCTTCGGTTCTTTATAAGACAATATATACACCTGGGGTTAGATGTACCAACACATCTTTAGTTTCTGAAGGCTTTGGCAGATTGCAAATCCTCTTATTAAGGTGGCTATGTGATTTTCAGGTTAAGGTGACAGGTTTTTGCTCTCTTGAAACTCTACCAAAACTATAATAGAATTTTTTGAAGCATGAACATATAAAGATGGAGAAAACAAAGAGGAAGAAAAGAATAGTAACATTTTAGAAGCTAGAAAGCAGATCGAGAAGTGATAATGGACATAGTACACCCAAAAAAACTAAATTATTAACTGACTGTGGAAAAATGGAAACCAACCTGATTTGTACCACAGAATTCTCGTCTCAAGAATTGGCACTGTGAGGTTATCTCTGGAGGAGAAAGAGTACATAAATGAAAAGGCCTGTCTGAAATGTTTCTCTAAATCCCTTCTGCTCTGTGCCACTGGGTAGATACCCCATCCCTACCCTGGCAGTACACTGGAAATGTATTCTCTGGAGAGGGGAGAAACTCTCTGGACCCAGGACATAGGGGGAAATGGGGGGAGGGGAGGGGAGTTACTGCTTACTGAGTGATGAACGGAGAGTTCCCCAGTACTCTCTTTTCATTTGCTTCCCAGACTGCTGGCAGCCAAACCTTCCCCTTCAGGCAGGAGATTGGAAGAGTTTTGTCTGAGGAATCTTAACAGCTAAGAGTAAAGACCCAAAGGTAGTGATATCAGGGATTCCACCTAGATGGGAGTACATGGAAGTTCAAAAACAAGAAGCCCATCTGTATGCCCAAAGCTTTCCATAGCCTTTTAGTCTCAATCTGAGTAAAGACAAATTATCTCTCAATTACCAGACATCAGAGAGGAAGTCTCTGATGCCAGTAAGAGAGAACAAATGGGGGAAAGGCAACTAGGAATAAACAAACACAATGCAAGGAGAAGAGATACCCCCCCGAAAAAAAAACCCTATCACTTTTCTCAGAGATAAAAGAAGATTTTCTATCTATGAAGCAAGAACAGATGCTTTATAAGGAACATTCAGATAACAATTTAAAATGTTAAAATGCCGATATTTACAGTACACTGGAAATTACTTTCCTTGCAATTATTAAACTTTTAAATGTCGGGTTCCTCTTCCCTTGTCTTCCACCATCATTTCACAAAGAACAGAAGAAGCTAGATGTAGCTGACCAGTAACTCCATAGACTATTTAAATAGCTGCTTAATGTACTTCTGCACAGCCTCATTTCAAAATAGTCTGCCCCCTGCATGATTTCCAGATGCTATTGAAAGTGATCTTTTCTACTTTGCAAAATTGACTCTAAAGTCACAGGGTATAAGCAGAATAAGAGCATCCTATCTCATTGTATAAAGTATTGAGGTCACAGTCATTCATAAGATAAAAACTTTAGTAATTAGGAAGGTTGAATCATTGGGACTTTCAAATATGTCACCTTTATTGGATTATATAATATAAGCACATGGTGAATGAGTGACATTTCTCCTGTGTGGTTCTGTTCTGTTCTCTTCAGTAAAAGACCATTTCTGATTCCTAGGTTAACTTTAAGAGAGCAGAGCTATTCTAGTGGTAGATAATTAAAGACTCACTCTTCGGAGTCAGGGTTCATGTAGTATATTTATCATCTTCTCATCTGATAGTCATTGATTTCAGCCTAAGGGCCAGGGTATTTTAAAGACTAATGTTACT